ACTACCATTACCACCTACACCACCACCACCACTACTACCACCTCCACCACCACCACATAGTCATTGAAAAGGAAGAAAAGAAAATGATTCGCGTAAAGAGCTGTTCCGTGCTTTCAACGCAGGTATATCAACTTTACAAACAAATATCTCTTTCTCAGCTTAATCGTCCTCTTTGTTAATGCACTTAATTCAAGACTAAATACAAAATCACATGGACTGATCAATGTACAGGGTGTCCATAAATTATCTGTACAACTTTCACAGTTTATGGTATCCATTAAATTTAACTTCCATCAACTTCCATATATATATGAAGAAATATAGTCTTAAGATGTGCTATATTTATGGGATAAAGTGCTCAATATCAGAGATAGAGCGTGTGTAAATATAAAAGTGAACATAGAAGTCAACACTTATGCTAGATGCAATCGTCAAGCCAACCGATTGCATCTAGCATGAAACAGAATGTCGCCTCTAATGTTGACTTTATGTTCACTTTTATATATATATATATATATATATATATATATATATATATATATAGTTGGATTGATATGAGTTTAGATCCTGGGTTTCACGTTTTGCCTGACGATCGCAAATAGTGAAACCCAGGGTCACAAACTCACATCAATCCAACTAAATATGTTAGCTCTATCACTGATAATGAGCGCTTTCTAATAAGTACCGCGCATATATAATATATAAATAATATATATAAAGAAATGCATATATATATATATATATATATATATATATATATATATATATGACTACCCTCTTTAAAACTTCTCCCTGTTAAATTTTAATCCCCCACCTTCTCTCGCCTGTTAACCTTCTCTATAGCTCTAACATTCGTCCCACACTCTTGTACTTAACACTCTCTCTAAATTTTATTTTTTATTCCCGGAGTTGTTTTTTCTATTTTCTTTTTGAATTTGTAGGTCTGATGAATTGGATCGTATTTACTATTCCAATGGAATAAATTATGACCATGGAATATGAGGAATATTCCAATGGAATAAATTATGACCATGGGGTATTAGCCTTTTTATTATATATATATTGCCCTTTGTCCCAAGGGCTTTCGGCTACTTCTAAATAACTAGACAATAGACAATACAGATAATATTTTCACCCCCACCTTACTCCCACAAAACGAAAAAATATAAGAATGACTAAATAAAAAAACAAAAGGTGACACCAGTGGCCTAAACGTCCCACATTCTGTCAAGCTCCCTCCGATGACCGGTGTACTTTTTGAGCATTTGGATTTCTATGACATTGGTATTATGGTCACTAGTAACAGCCACATCGTTAAGGAGGCATTTTCGTTTGTTTCCCACGATGATGATCTCTGGTTTGGTAGACTCAAGGATGCGGCCCATTTAGATGTTGAAATTCCACTGAAATACCTTGACTTGGTCGCCTTCGATGAGCTTCTGTGGCACGTTGCGATACTATTATAATTATTATTTCATTTTATATCCTCATCGACACCGAGATATTTCGGCCGGGTGATGATAGTGATATCACAGTCCCTACCGACACATTAGAGGCACAAGAGCTGTTAGAAGCGGCGCTGCCACCTGTACACTCTCAATGATACCAGGTTTTTCCCAAGGCAGAAACATACCTGGAAATAGTCCAAATTTCATCAACCTCAAAAGGGACAACTCGAGCTACTACTTGGTATATTCCTATGATTTTTCTTCGTCAGGTCTTGGTACCTTTGGGCTTACGCCCCCGCCTTCACGATGTTCGTATCCCAATATATATATTGTGAGATCACCCCTGGTCGGCGGCTGATGAAGTCAGGGTATCGCACGTGCTAACACACGTTGTATGTTAAAAACTGAATATATATATATATATATATATATATATATATATATATATATATATATATATATATATATATAATGGTAAAAGAATGAAAAGAATATAAATTCAAACCTTCATAAAATTAATTTAGAAAAGGACTCAATACAAGAGTAGAGCAATAAATATTTATTATAAACTGTTACATTGAAACATGCACGTTACCACCATAAAATGCATATTTGTTTCTGACGTCTAAAGACGTTTCATCAGGTGGTTAACGATGGTGGTATACCACTATCGTTAACTAACAATAATATTTTATAATATATATATATATATATATATATATATATATATATATATATATATATATATATATATATATATATATATTCGACTCTCCTGCAGATCAGTTCCCAGGAAACCGCCGACAGCCCGACAACAGCACATGAATGAGATTTGATTATAGTGGTGAAGGTTTCGTGCAGGACCATCCAGACTTTTTGAAGGGCCGAATACAGAGACCTGATGCACTAAGTGCCACAAGGTCCCCAAACGACCCTCCGCAGGTTTTGAATTCAGAGTTGTCCTTCTCCTAGACCAGTCGCCATCCAAAGCTATAGATCCCAGTCTGTCCTGCTATTTACCCATAGCTGAAGGGAGAAGAGGATTCACACCTTTTCCCATGATGTGAATAACACCCTTGTGTATTAGCACGTAAGTGAATGTAACTGGATTCAACTGGAATTGAACTCGGCTCTTGGTACCATTATCTATTACTCCACCGTGCCTTACATACATATATATATATATATATATATATATATATATATATATATATATATATATATATATATATATATATGTGTGTGTGTGTGTGTGTGTGTGTGTGTTGGAAGAAATAAATTATTGATTTAAAATATTTTAAATCAATTAATTTATAATATTAATCTCTGTAAATTTACATTGAACACTATTTTGTAAAATAAAAAATATCTATAAGAACACCGGATTATATTTTACTGTTCTTATATATATATATATATATATATATATATATATATATATATATATATATATATATATATATATATATATATATATATAAAAAAAATAGCTACAAATAAGCGCAATCGGATCACGATTATTTCTACTCAATAGCATCTCGAATAATTTTAAAGCATAAGCGTTGCTGCCCACCCCAAAACAGGATAATACAATGGATCATACTACCCATAATGCATCATTCAGCACTGGCGCGTACTGCTCTCAAACCCCTTGACTGGGTAGAGAGCCAGCCTAATTGAGAGCCCCGGGCATTGCTTTGTAACCCTAGCTATCTTATCAACATGTACTTTTTTTTTTTTAATTTACATTTATATACGTTACGAATGAAACGAAGCACAACTGTCTATAAAAGAATGAAAAAAATTCGAGAATTTTTACATTATTTGTCGGGGTTTTTTTTGCTGTTTTTTTTTTTTCAAAATCTATGAATTTGTTTTACTCGTGCTAAAACTCGAAAAAACACAACATAAAATTCGATATATATATATTTTTTATCCATAATGTTAAATGTATTAACTTATTCGACTTTTTAACAAGAAAAATCTCAAGTTGATGTTAAAAAAATTGCAGCAAAACAATGTTGATTTATTTAGGATGGAATGATCTATGACTTGTCACTATTTTGTATTTAGATACATTGTATTTATTTTCAGTTTTTCTAGTTGAATTGTTCGCATATATTGCATTTGATTCTTTATTGTACATAATTAATTTTAGTTTGCAATAAAATTTGTATTTTTTATGAATACAACTTGATGTAGTAGGGTGGAGGCCCGTATCATAAATTCAATGACAAGACTCTCGCCACGTTTATAGCATTTCCAACTTGTCTCTCTCACACACACACACACACACACACACACACATATATATATATATTAGGTACCTGCATTTTTTCGCTAAAAATGAGCATATCATGAAATGATATGAAAAGTTTTATCGTCAAAATGTTTGTTATTAATAAGAGGAAAGGCAAAAATATTTTTTTATTATTTTATTAATTTTTTTAATCCATTCTAGCACGTTCGTAATTTTAGTTAAAAATTTAATTTTTTTTTTTGCGTCAGCGGTGGGCCAAAGATTACTATGGAAATTTTAGCGCCTTTTTTTCCGGTAAAAAAAAACAAAAAAAAAACAAAAAAACATTGATTTGGAAATTCTTGCAAAAATCGAATAATTGTCAGATTTTAATGAGATTTTCAGGACTTATTCACAAATGAAATTATTTTATAATCTCTTTTTTTTTAAGAGAAGTTTGTTAAAAACATGTTTTTTTTTTACATTTATTACCTCCTATTTATTTAATTTTATGAAATTTCGAGAAATTAATTATTGTACCGCTTAATGATTATATTAATTATACGCAGGACTCCTTAGAGAATAAATTATCATTTTATTTTTTGTAAAGCAGAACCATCAAGTACGGAAAATCTGCTCTGAATCGTAAAATAAAAATGCAATAAAACTAAAACATTTTTAATTACACGAGCATTGAATTGTTTTTATAAATACAATATATTATTGACCCTATCGTCTTAAGAAAAAAAAAACCTTTTTCGATAAATAATGAATTTTTACAAAAATTGTTTTCATTTAAAAAAAAATTAATTAGAATAATTTATAAAGTTTTAAATATTTTAAATTTTTGTATTAACTTTTACCTGTTAGGCGATATTGTTATTAAGTAAAAACTTTATTTACTAATAATAAATAGAAAAGTTTAGTACAATTCTAGCGATGGCCAATATTTTATGTTTAAAATTCAGTGTATAAGAAGGCACGGTGTAGTAATGGATAGCGGCTTGGATTGAGGAATCTGAGAGCCGAGTTCGAATTCCAGTCGAATCCATTGCATTCACTTACGTGCTTACTTGGGAAAGGTATGAATCCTCTTCTTCCTTCCCCCCAGCTATGGGTGAATTCTATAACTTTGGATGGCAAAATCTGCCTTGCCTGTCATGTATCGAAAGATACATGATCGCCTAAGCGTGTATCCCACATGGCACATAACTACGTACAGGTTTTTTTTTTAAATACGGGCGTCCATACACGATATAATCAGAAAACAAGAGCGATAACTATAATAAATTTAAAGCCAAAGTACAATAAAA